CCAATGTAAGGTGAGCCCTTGGTGGCATGCCGTGTCCTAATATACTTGAATAAAAACATCGCCACTCCCAAGATAGGAACTTTAACTTAAAAAAAAAAAATAATAATAATTAGCAGTAGTATGATCAATAATGATAATTATACATAATCTTTTTAACTAAATGCAGAAATGTACATATGCATTGGCTAGTAATTGAACAAACACAATTACATTAAATCAAGAATAGATTAAAAGTGCAATAATAATGTTTTAGGATAACAAGATTCATAAAATAATTAAATTAAAATATGAAACTTAAATTTTCAAAGTATATAAACTTGGATATTCATTTTTTTAAAGAGATATGGGTTAACTTATCATCTATCACTATATTATTATGAAATATTCTGATGATTCTCATTTCTATACAGACCAATCTTTTACAGATGATTACTATATATATGATTCTTATGCAAATTCTTATAATAATCCTCATAATAATGAATTTGATAATTTGGAAAATAATGAATCATCCCAAGCAGAAACTGTTACTAGTAAGAAATGTTTTATATATAAATCATTCATATGGAACTATTTTGATAAAGAAAAAAATAGACCTTATGCTAAATGTAGGCTTTGCCCTAAAAACAAAGGAATAATAAAATGCACTAAAGGCTCAACATTAAGTCTTAAAAAACATTTTACTATACATAAAGGAAAGGTGCCTGAATTAGATAAAAGAAAATCAAATATCGCCATTGTAGATATGCTAAAAAACCAATCATCTGTTAATAATTGTCTTTGTGAATCTTTTAATTTGGCACATTTTAAAAATCTTATCAAATGTTGGATTGTTAAACACAATCGACCATTTTACATTATAGAAGATGATGATCTCAAAGAAATATTCTTATATTTAGAACCTAATGCAATTGCACTATCAGCTGATTTAGTAAGAAAACATATTACAAATGACTTTAGAGAAGAATGTAATAAGCTTTATGAAAGATTACAAAAAATCTCTGGAAAACTTTTAATAACGACTGATATTTGGACAACAGATAATAATGATAAATCATTTATAGCAATTACACTTTATTATATAGATACATCTTGGAAATTAAAAAACATTCTTTTAGATTTTATAAATATAAATAGATCACATTCAGGTTCTGAAATTGCTAATAATATAAAAAACTGTCTTCAATTTAATGGAATTTTTTTTTTTTTTATCCCTGATGTTAATACCTAGGGGCGCGTGTGGCACTCTTTTATTAAAATCAAAATATTAAGAACATTGTATACATATATATATATTTTTCATTTTTTGGGAACAGTTTTTTAGATTGTGGTACAGAGTATATATGTCTTTGTGAAGACGTTTAATTACTATTAGGGGTAGGATTCTGCTTGAGAGGTTGCTGTCTCCCCATTTGAAAG